CTAACTAAATATATCCATTCACAAACCACAGCAAGCCTTCATGAACTGCTTAAAAGTTCATCAAAAGTTTGTGCTGGTTGACCTTCCATGAACTTTAGTTTGTGAGCCAGTTCGTGCCCATCCTTAATCCTATACAACACTTGGGTGTAAATTCTGTTAAACTCAGTGGATCTTGTTTCTACATAGATAGATAGGTGTTGTTGTTCAGTCGCACAGTCGAGTCCGACTCTTTGCGACCCCATGGACGAACTCTCGCCAGGCCTTCCGGTCTTCCGCCGTCCTCTGAAGTTGGCTCAACTTCATGTTCGTTGCATCGATGACACTGTCTAACCATCTCATCCTTTGCCGTCCCCGTCTTCTTTGACCTTCAATCTTTCCCAGCATCAGGGTCTTTTCCAGTGAGTGCTCCCTTCTCATTTGGTGGTAGGTAGGTAGGTTTTATTCACGGTCATTGACCAACACATAAAACAATGTCACTTGTTTTTGAATAAACATGCATAGAATCAGGCCTTAACATATTCCAGTACTTTTATGAACTAGATTCCATTCTGGGTAAAAATGTAAGATTTTTATTTTAAAACCATTACAAAGACAATGGTGTTAGATGGAAGCTGTGCCATTTATCACAAGGCATGCTCTTAAAGATTATGTCCTTCACAGAAAATATGTGACTTAGTTTGACATTTAGCAGATGGGTGAGAATAAAAATGGAAATGAATGAAAGTGGCACATTAGTATGTTACTAGCTTAATTGAGATAGAAGAGAACTGAAGTTAAAACAGAAAACAGTAGGGTTCCAAAGCTGTCTAAATGTCTCATTTCACTGACAAGATTAAGGGCTTCTTCACATACACCTGTTTCTTCCATTGATAGCTTTTCTGTGCTGTCACACAGAATGAACACACATGAATCTGTCTAGCTGCATGTACTTGCTCAGCTAACCATTGCTTGCTACCGTATGTATAGGTGCTGAACTAGACATGTTTGCACCTGTCATGTGTGACAGCATGCCCATAATCTATACACTGTTATTGTATAGAAAATTTTATTTATGAAATAGGTCTCATTTGTGTTCTGTCCATCCAGTGAGCTATTCATAGTGTCATTTATTAATCATTGCTTATGCTAGGTACTGAGGTGTCCCTCAAGTTTCACTCCTCAGAAATCCTGTGTTTTCACATATCTGGGTATTTGTTAACCTCGTGCAATTAAAAACATTAAATTAAAGCTCCAGCAGTACAAGCCATATTTAGTTTAAACCACTAAAGGTTGTCATAGAATTTACATATTCCCAGGTTGTGTAGTAGAAGCAGAAGACAGAACAGAACTTTCTTTTTCAGCTGTCAGAATTATGACTGAAAAATTGGCAATTTGTGTGTGAGTACACACAACATGTGAGTACACTGTATGTGTATCTCCAGTAGATTTTTAGCAAATTACTTTGCTCTTCCAAACAGATTCTCTGAAGCTGGATGTGTCCGGTGCTACACTTCCTGTCACAACCAATGGCATGCACACACACAATTTTTGTTTCTCTCATTACTTCCTGTCTCTTCAGGAAGAGGAGAGATGTCTCTTGGGCTTCTGGTAGCACAAAAAGTGTCTGTCTCCATTGCTTGAAGTCTGTGAGATTAATTGGCTGCCTCACAGCCTATCACCTGTTGTCAAGCAGGAGGAGGACAGGGAACTGATATGTTAGCATTTGACCTCTTTCACTCAGCCTTGAAAACAGGTCAAAAGGTTGTGAAGTGTTGGCAACATGGATGGACAGCTTCATGGCACACAGTAACAGTAAAACAAATGAAGGTGCTATTTTATCTGTCAGCTGCTTTTGTCATAATAAAAGCACAACTGACTCCCCAAGCTGAAATAATTATTCATTTCTTTCCATTTTAAAAAGAAGTCATGATAGGCAACTCCTCCCTTAAATGCCTGGCTTTTACATGTTTACAAGGCAAATGACCATTGCCATTATTGCTTCACAACTTCATAAAATCCTGTCAGGTTGAAGGATAATAGTGGCAGGCAATATTTCTTCTTCTACTGACTATAAGTCCCCTGGTTATACCCTTGGGTGTTGCAGCAGTTGCAAAATAAAATTGTTGACTTTAAAAATTAAAGTTAATTTAAAACAACCCAACATTCAACTGGATCTAGAAAATCAATGGCATTATATTTGGAAGAGTGATATTATTGAGCAGCTGGTGGATTCTGTTTCTTCACTGTGCTCATTGGGAAGAATGGTGGTCATCTTTAGGCCTAGTTCACACATGCATGTGTATTACCTTGCTATGCATCAGGCAAATATGTGCATGTGTGACTCAATCCACAAATGACTAATGAGCAGAGATAAAATTTTCCTCTTACCTGTTGTCAACGCAGAGATCACTTTACTTTGGAGCCCAATAAATGCTTGGTTGAGTCAACAAGATGTCATCCAAGGAGATATCAACTGATGATCATGCACACTTAAGCTTTTGGTTTGTGCCACTGAAGAGGTGATCAAATGACAGTATGACTCTTTTACATCGTATCTCCTGCTCTGAATGATGTAATTTATTTTCTTTGGCTCTCCACCCCCAGCACCATCCTTTTGGGGATCACAGGAGGTTTCTTTGGAAAAGGAAAGGTAGAAAAGATCTGCTTCCATTAGCAAATTCTGTTTGCAGTTCATAGGATCTAACCCAAAGTAATGCATGGTTGGCAGGCTAAATAAGATTTTATTATTTTGAGTGCCTGAGCCTATATGAATTTGTTTCCAGTTTGCAGTATTATTATATTTGATTGTGCTTTTAATTTTTTAAACTGTATTTAGAACTATTTTGAGCTACCTGGAGGGCTCTTTGACAGTTGAAAGCATAGTGTGGTATAAGGCCTTATCCTATGCATGTTTACTCAGAAGTAAATGCCACTGTGCCCCATAGGACTTACTCCCAAGTAGGTATACATAGAATTGTGATCTTAGTGTCACTGAAAGTGATATTTGTTTAAGTGTAATTGATTTGCTGAAAATCTAAGTAAATACAGATTTATGTGGACAGTACCCAATGTGAATAATAATACTATCATAATAAAGAATCATACAGCTAAATATATACTAGTTTCTTTGTGCTGTCAGACTCACATTAGAATTTTCCTACCGAGCAATAAACTGTAATAGGATAGGGCTGGGTTGTCTACAGCTGTTTGGCCTTGAGAACAAATCATGGCAGCTAAAATTGACAAAGCTCAAATTTATACCCAAAGACACTAATGAGAGTCATTATCAGCAGCAGAGTCAACGCTCTGGAATTACTCAGTAGAGATAATAAGGCACAAGCTTAAGACTCTGTGCCATGTCTCTGCATTCAGTGATATTGGCTTTGCACCATGCCTAGAACAACAGAGCTTTTCAGTCTAGACATTGCAGCAAAATAAACATTGCAATACAAAAACAAATAATACATATGCATCACCTGCAGCCCCAAGAGGCTCTTTCCACCCCTTCCTGGAGCACTTATTTGATGTAAAGCCCCAACAAACAGGATTCAACTATCTATGGGGAATAGAAGAATCCCCCCCCCCCCAAAAAAAAGGTGCCCGGTATTCTTCAAAGATTTACAAAACTCTGTGCATATTTCTCTCTCGCCCTTCCATATTTTCAGATTCCTCTTCACTTCCTCCTTTTAAGTGTTGGTTTTTAATTGACAACATTAACTGGGATCTCGACTCAGTCCCTAGTTCAGACTTTTAAAGTAAAGTTGCATTTCAGATTAGACCATCTGCTTTACTAGTATTTTGCATCAGGGTCAAGTTTCCTTGAAGTGCAACCTTTGACCTTCTCTTTGAAGAGAAGAAAAACTAATACTTCAAAAGGAAATGGGTCATTCCACCTATACTCAAAACCACAGCATTTTTTCAGTAACAGAGAATAGTCCACGAAATGCAGTAGAACTGTAGAAATGGCTTTTGAGACTTCTACATTCATTTCTTGATTGAAAAAGAGAAAGGTTTTTTAAAATTCTGTGGGGAAGTCCAGTAAAGAGGGAGGGTAATGATGTCTGATAAGAGAGTCAAGTCAGAAGAATTCAGCAGATGTTTTATAGTTTAAAAAATATCTCCATAAGAGATGCCAATGTTGGATCAGGCCAAAGGCCCATCCAGTCCAACACTCTGTATCACATGTATAAAATATTTTAAAATAGAAAGGAGACAGAATTGCTCATTATTATTCTTAGTATTAACGGCATTTACGGGGTTTGAACACACATGAATACTGAGTCAGACCACTGTCTACTCTGACAGGCAGCTTGCCACTGTCTCAAGGAAAGGATCCAACAAATCCTCTTAGGTTAATCTACACTTTTTAAATTGAAAAATCCATATAGTTTTCAATTTCTGTAAAGACATTTTTTTTCACTCTGAGATTCCAAAAATTCCCACTACCAGAGTTTTTACTGTTGTTGTTTTTGTCAAAAATCCAGACATCCTCTTACAGTATTTGTGTAATATGTATTTCCATTAATGTTACATACTATTATTATTCATTCTGGTGGGTAACCGTGTTGGTCTGGAGTAACAAAACAAAGTTTGAGTCCAGTGGCACCTTTAAGACCAACAAAGGTTTACACTGAGTATAAGCTTCTGTGTGTACGCATACGTCTTCACTTCTTGTTGTTGTTGTTCAGTCGCACAGTTGAGTCCGACTCTTCGCGACCCCATGGACCAGATCACACCAGGCCTTCCGGTCTTCCGCCGTCCTCTGAAGTTTGCTCAACGTCATGTTCGTTGCATCTATGACACTGTCTAACCATCTCATCCCGTCTTCTTTGACCTTCAATCTTTCCCAGCATCAGGGTTTCAGGGTCTTATACCCAGAATAAAGCTTTGTTGGACTCAAACTTTGTTCCATTATTACTCATGTAAAACTACTATAATATGCTAAATTTTATTTTAATAGTTTACATAGACCAAACATTAGGTGATCATGTGGTGTCTCTTTTTCAATTACATATTTGCAGCTGAAAGTTACAAGGAATCACAGGCAGTAAAGATTAAAGAAGAGCCAATGGAAGTTGATATTCATGATTCCCAATCCTCCGCTTCACCCAGCCAAAACATCAGTTATAGCACTTTACTCAGGCAAGAGATATCTGAACATATACAAAAGATACCAGAAGGCCGAGTACTCCCTGAGAGAAATCTCTTCAGCCAAGATATATCAGTGAAGATGGCTTCCGAGCTGCTTTTTCAGTTGTCAGGTAAATAAAGCAGATTTGTCTTAATGTTCTTCTTTTTATAATGCCAATAACGGTAAACTAACTAACTAACTATTAGAAATTTATGATGCACTCCTAAACAAAGTTAATACCGTTCTAAGCCCATTGACATCAAGAAGACCAACACACTTGCCTGTTAGAAATGGACTTAGGGCACTATCCAATGCCCTCATTTTGATCAGGCTGTAAGCTTATATTGGATCTGTGCTGAGGCCAAAGTTCTTGTAATGCCCATCTGCGTGGTTTCAGTTCATTCTGCACCTTTCTGTTCTGTTTTTAAAAGTTCAACAGCATCCTTCTGGCCCAGCTGAGCCTGTGGCTACTGGTGAAAAGGCATAATCATAATCTTTTCTCTGTTCTACCAACCGTTGGTTAAAGATAAATTTAAATCCATGTGGCCTTGTGCCTTTAATCCTGTCTCTGACGATTACCAATCTGAATGGCTGACCTCTACTATTCGGAAAATTACGCTATTAGGGTTTCCCCCCCAAGAGCTTTTGGAAATGGGTGGCGTCCAAGCTAAGTTAACGGTTAGACAGAGGATTGAGGACATCGAACGCCAACTGGACTTACAGGCGACCCCTGCCTTTATAGCGCCTTATAGTAATAAATATATTGTTGCTCAAGCCTCATATTTATCTGTTCTGGAGTCAAATAAACTTAGGAGGGCGTATACTTTGGCTAGATGCTCTGCCTTACCTTCTGCAGTTCTTGAGGGCAAATTTAAGAAAATCCCCCAAAATGAGAGGCTATGTATGTGTGCATCTGGGGAGATCGAATCTCAGGAACATGTCTTCCTGAGGTGTCCATTATATAATGAAGCTCGCACAAAACCTATCGACCCCCTTTTGGTTGGTTCCTCAGATCAGGATAAGATAGAAAAATTGCTTTCCAATTCTGATCATATAGTGCTACAGCAGATAGCGAAATTTTGTTTTTTTGTTGTAAAAGTTCATCAGCGTCCAGGTAGCCAGTTGGGTTAGGACTGCCTGATTTTAATCCTATTGATTTTTTACTATTGCTATTTTACTCTTTGTAAGACTAAATTTTGTCCAACATTACATCGTATTTTTGGTTTTAGTGATTGAAATGTTTGTATAATTTTATCTTTTATTAATCTTGTCTTATCATAATAGATTTACCATCTGGATACTTTTTGACATTGTAATCTATTTAAATGGTAATATACTTGCAGGTATGGTTTTATATTGCTGGCTATGTGCTTTAATAAATAAATTCATTCATTCTTTCATACAAAGAAGTCATGGCTGGATTGAAACATTTCAATTAAATGTAGAAAGTTGAAATTTCCCTTTTATCTTCTAGAAGAATAATTAAATCATTTTTGCCAGCTGTTATACTCACCCTAAAAAGAAAAAAAAGTTTCATTCTTAATATTTTTCTAAGGAATCAACTTTCTAAAAAAACCTATTAATGCATTATCTAGAAACAAGAAAATGAAGCATTTTTTCCTCTTTTTTCACCATTTCTACTGTAATATATGAATTGGGTTTTGTACATCTTATCTGCAACACTAGATGAGTCACAGATGACGTATTGTGCTGCTAGTTTGTACTGCTCTAAGTAACGTATGAATAGACTCTTAGCATCAATTTGTTCTATCCCCCTAGATACCTTATTCTGTATAACTACTCACTTCTAATCGCACACAAAAAGAGTCATCTCACTGGGTAACTCATAAAAAGTTTCCATCCAAGCTTTAAAAAAAAAATACAGAAAATGTGGTCTTGGGACGTGCTGAAAACTACTGCTGATAGAAAGATTTCTTCCAATGACACAAAACTTTCTTCATACTCCCACAGCAGCTCAAAATACCCCCCCCCCCAAAAAAAATGCTGCTCTTGTGGGATGGGGGGGGAATCCCTGGGAACAGCAGGGGAGGTTAGAGGTCTGAAGGAGGAGAGAGTATCAGCAAATATTGCCCCTCCCTTTCTGCCAGTGAAGTGGAAGCCAGCCCACAGTATGAAAAAGATAAATACAGGTATTTTAAAAGTAATTCAAATTAGAAGTTGGAGGGAATAATTGAATATTAAGCAGATAAAATCCATACAAGAGAGATGTTCCCCTCTTAAAATAGTCACAACTGAAAGTGGGAATTCTGGTTGGTTTTGATTTTTTAAAACAATTGTTTATTTTTCTACAGAAAAGGTAAGCAAAGAACACAATCACTCTAAAGATAACACCATCACAGCTACAACTAGGTAAGTAATATCTATGATACAGCATGATATAGAATATTATAACATGTTAGTGTATCTGTGCTTTGGTGTATTATGCATTTTACTTTTAAATCTGTAGAATATCAGTTGTTGGGTTCTGCAGATATTTGGGCAGAGGAGGCATTTTCGTAGGAAGGCGCCGTTTCAGAAGTGCAGTTTGCAGGGACTTGTGATTAGACTGTCTCAGTTGCCCTCAAACCTTTAGAACTCCTTTTGTCCAGCAATGTTCCCTCTAAGCTTCACAGTGTTGTGAGCAGAAATTTTACCTTGTGAGCAAAAAATTCTAGTAGCATTAAAGTTGTGAGCAAGTCCACATTTGACTATTGCGTAAATTATTTTTAGAAGATTATTTCCATAACTTTGTAAAAATCTCAGAATAAATTCTTTTAAACTGTATTTAAACTATATTTTAAGAACAATTTAAACATTATAAGAGAAAACGGAATCAAATCAGATTTCATTACACAAAATGTTTTCCTGTACAGGGGTAGACTAGGCCTCTGAAGAACAGGTTTGCCCACCCCCTTCCACTGCATTGGTGAAATATGACAACCAGCATTATAGGTCAAGTATAACAGAGGTGGACAATCACTGTCAGAACCTTGCCTAACCTTAAAAACAGGAAGTTGCTTATCAGCCTGCCCAAACTACTTATTTATTCAGATATTTATATCCCACTTATCCCTGTGACTCAAGGCAGCTTATGATTCATACTGAAAAGCATAATAGGGGTGTGCAAAAAAATAATAATAGTTTTTTTCCTGTCTCAATTATAGCCTATGCGGACCATTATAGTCAATGGGCCCCATAGACTGTAATGGAGAATCAGTCTGAGGGTATCTGGGGCTCGGGGGGGGGGGTGTTTTTTGAGGTAGAGGCACCAAATTTGCAGCATAGCTGCTGGTGCCTGTCTTAAAAAAACAAAAACCAGTTTCAAAAAGATTTTACTGGGAGTCCAATTCTGTGGGCCCCAGAAGGAGGTGCCCCCATCCTCCATTGTTTCCTATGGAAGCTTGATTGTGAGCAGAACAAAAATCCTCTGAGCTGGCAGCTAAAATGTTGTGCATCAGTGCCCCCTAGTGCAGCTTAGAGGGAACTGTGCCCCCAAGTGGTATGATTGGTCCTATTGCCCTAGGCCTTTTGGCACAACTTACAGGAGGGTGCTAAAAAATTTTATTTGTAATTAACTATCTGATTTTAATATGCTATTGAATTTTCTTGTTTTTAGATCTATGTTGCCCAGCATTCTGTTAATGGAGATTAATTAATTAATTAATTAACAACAGAAAATCATTTAAAGCATAGGCCAGACAAAATTAACTACTTTCAAGTCTCATAGATTCCAAGGGAATAATTAAGATCATACTTAAATCTTTCCTTCTGAAATAAACATGGCACACGATTAAAAATCAATTTGATCAATAAGCTTAAAGTATAATGGAAACAAATTAAAAATGGAAACATTAGAATTGATATATAAACCATAGGGTTGTAATTAGTCATGTCCCAGAGTCCCAACCCTTGAGAGTCATGGGGTGGGGGCTGGTGTTTCATTGGGAAAGATTTGGGGATGTCACATTTAAATAGCAGTATTAATTATAGTTCTTTCACACACCACTAGGAATCATAACATATGGTATCCACAACTGGTCACACTTGTGACTTTGAAGAGACAGACTATTTTTTTAATTACATAGAAATTAATCATGACTAAACAATAAATTGTACTTGAGTTATTAACAGCAGATTATTGCCTCCTGCCTCCAATTTACATGTGCATTAGATACCACAAGGAGGCACACATAAGTGTTAAAAGAAGTCATCAAGTATATGGGCTAGCTGCTGAAACTTGGCTAGGAGGCCAGTGCCTAATTTCTGGCAATTCTAGTTATAATTGTAAAATGACATGAAAACAGGGGGGGGGGGGTTGTAGAAAAAGCCCAGCAGGAAGTCATTAGCATAACAGGCCACACCCAACAGCAGAAATTCATTAGCATATTAGGCCACACCAAGGCTCCCTCTAAGCCGTGGAGTGAGCAAAAATCCTACTTCGTGAGCTGATGGCATTAAAGTTGTGAGCGAGCGATTTGGCTCCTGCATAAATTAGTTTGCTCTGGAGCCATCCTTCCTGAGCTAAGACAAAAGTTTGTGAGCCGGAGGCTAAAAAACTGTGAGCTGGCTCACACTAACTCAGTTTAGAGGGAACACTGGGCCACACCCCAACAGCACACCTCATTAGCATATTAGGCCACATCCCATGTCTTCCCTTGGCTTGCCCAGGCACCCCACAGCTGTGGGGAGCCCTGGCAAGCCTCCCCTTGAAGGGCAAGCCGGCCCTTGGACAGGCCAGGGAAGGCATGCGGAGGCATCCCCGATCCTTCCAAGTGCCCCCCTGGCCCGCCCACCTCGGAATTGCCGGGGGGGTCACTCTCCAGGCCTTCCCTCTGTAGCCACGCACGCAGAGGTTTTGGCTGTAGTGGGCATGGCTAGAGATGTAAAATTTCCGGAAATTTTGAAGCTCAGAAAAAAACGGAAATTTTTGGAAAAATTGAAAAAATGCTACATTAGCATTTCTTTGGTCTTTTCTAGATTGAAAGTCATTCTGTTACTTTAGGAACATAAAATATGACTATGGACATTTTTACTTGGCATGAAATTATAACTAGCATATTAAAAATATAGTGTATCCAAACAATTATTACAAACAGAATACCCACCCACATGCAAAAACAAAACTGAAACCTTTTTCTTTTCTTGTGACAATAGCACCTCCTAAAGGAAGAAATCATCTTGTTCTTGAATTGGAGAGTTCAGTTTGTAACCTAGGACTTGCTTGTCCTCCGTGCACAGAAATTAGATCAATCTGACACCATACATATTTTTTAGAAATGATTTGGAAAATATTTGAACACCTTGTCTTAAAATATTTTATTCATCATGTTAAAATAAAACGTTCCATAATCAATTTTTTTTCTTTTTTCAATTTTTCCAATTTTTCGGAAAAAAAACAAAAAAGCTTCAGGAAAAAAAACGTTTTTTCTCCGAATTTTTCCATTTTTTCCCCGGGCCTTCACATCTCTAGGCATGGCCAACTCTGAAGCCAGCCAGAACTCTATTCCTGTGCGTTCCTGCCCAAAAATAGCCCTGCATGAAATTAAACAGCACTTTCCGTGCCTACCATCTGTGACAGTTACAGTAGACATATATACATTTGCAACCTCAGCCACTTAGTCCTTACCAACCTCTGCCATGTGCCAAAGTTGACTATTGAAATGACTGAAGTCATTGCTGTTGGGTGTGGTGATTTTTCTGATCTCATGTCTGTCTTTGAGATCTCACACTATGTTGCTAGCGCTTCTCGCAGACTCTGTAAAAGCTGAGAAACTACTTTCTGTTACTTTTATGTGTGTTAATCAGAACGAGGCCAGGCTACACAGTCACTCAAGGTCTAATGCCCAGTTAGTAGCTGTTATAACTGAAGAATGAAGTACTTCAAGCTGTGTACTCTCAAGCTATGCACAATAACAACACTGTTTAGGAAAGGCAAGTTCTCCAGAAAACAGGAGAGAGGGAAGTCAAACAGGCGTACAGTTGCCCAGTGAGTCGTGTCTCTGTGGGCAGTTTGTGTTAGCTGGAAACTTCAGTTTCTGGCATCAAGAAGGATTTCGCCCTTTCCACCACACAAGTTTGATTAATAACTCTTTCTTCTTACCCTTACAACCAACTAATTGTAATCTGGTTTAATACTAAATTCAGATTAGAGAGTATAAATGGTAGGGACAAGCAAGATGAATTATGCCATGGTGTAATACTCAGATTCAAACAACCAAGCCATACCACATATTATTAGAAGATCATTGGTATACCAGTCTCCAGACAATATGGCTTTGGTTGAAACCCCTCCCTGATTCTCAGATACAGCATACAGATAGACCTGAACTGTGCATAATACTGGGACAGTCATCTTTTGTTTCTTAACATATATTTTATTCAGATTCCATCTTAAAACATTTCTCAAATATTGTTCCCACCACTTTGCATCATCACTAGAACTGAAGTCACACATCCTTCATCATGCAGATGCCCAATTGTTTGGCTGTTGGGTTGACCATGAACTGAAGCATTTTGGTCTAAGTACAAATTAGTTCAATAAATGAAGTGGCATGAACAAGCACATAAGCTTCTCCGTTCCTAGATCTAGAGCTCCTAGTCATTCCTGTCACTATTTAAAACGGCTTCCTTGATTAACTAATGGAGGCTGAACTAAAGATGAGCAGACAGCAAAAGAGCTGTGGCAGGATCATTAGCTTCCTCAAGGATAAATACAGTTCACTGAGAATATCAGCCTCTCACTAAGGTCCACCCTGGAAAAAACACTGTCCTCCTTATAGAAAACTATTCAAACAGGATATGTCAGTCTTCATGCTGACATTTACTTTATCCACACCAGCTGAATTAACTTGGCCTGGGCCTACTACTGGCACATATGTTTGAAGTCTGAGAACTTTGCAATGTGGCACCCGATAAAATCTGATATACTGTGCCTTGTCCTAAAATTCCTTTGCACAAATGCCATATGGCTGCAGAAACATGCATGTTTCCTTAAAACACCTCTTCCAATATTGCTTTTCTAAAGCTAGGCTCAGCCCATGGAAGAAAATGTTTATTCATAAATAATAGAAGGAACAGTGAGGACATTAGGCTACAAAATTATAGGGCTAGAAATTTTATTTCTACAAAACCTTTTTAGGTTTTGGTATGTACTTTGGTGCAAAGATAACTAGCCCAGGATTCAGTAGCAGTCCTGTGAAAGTCATTTTGCAAAAGTCTGTGTTATTTTCACATTGACTAAAAATTGATTCAAAGGGTTAACAAAGAAATCAGTTTTTATTCTAAATTTTAAAGTATCTTAACTGTACACCATTGAACAATGAACTCACAATCAGAAGTATCAAACATATTTTACTATTCATTACAACCACTGATTGCCTAGTACTATCTTGTCTTATTTCTTCCTTAGCCCTTTTTTCCCTGAAGATACAGTTAGACAATCACCGTTCACTTCTAACTCAAAAGACCTCCTATCGAATGAGACTGCTGTTCATGGAAGGACACCAGTACCGGGTATGAAACATAATTTCTTTATTAATAATAAGGCTGAAGTGTTGTGATTAAAAGGGCCCGGATGTATGCATCAAGTGGAAACAGTGCAAAAGCTGGAATAAAAAAAATCCTATGTTTAATTTCCAGATGAAATCTATAAAAGTCATGGCTTTTAGGGCTGTAAAAATGTTCAGCCTTTTATAAATTAGTTTAAGATATTTTCCACACAAAATATGTAAAAGTCATAACTGACAAGGATGGATCCTTTTTAAATTTGTGTGAGTTAATATAACTTTTCAGTAACTTGGGGTTGGATTCTTCAGATAGGAAAAATAATAATAATTTTCACATATTCCAGAAAAGTACTTTAAAGCAGTCTTTTCTCATCAACAGCTGTGCCATGAGCCTAGACAAATGCCATGAAATGTCAGCTAGGAATTCCTTAGTTCATAATGTCTGGGTCCAGTGAACCATGAGTTCCATTGAGGAAACAGATCTTTCCCACCTCCTCCTGACAATCTCCCCCTCCCAAGCTGCTTTAGAGTGTTGAGGGACCCTTGAAATAACGTGGGACATAGCATGGGAGGCTACAGCTCAAGGAGAAAGCCAAGGAAATTGTGCAAGCACAAGAATCATCCGCTAATGCAAGGGAACCTTTGGATCCAAGCCAGTAATCTCTCCTATATTATAAAGCTGATTTGGTGGTGGCACGTTGCTGAACATTCTATACAGTGCCCACAGCCTTTGGCTCCATGATCTGTCGTTCAAAAGCTGTCCCTATCCATTGGCTGCGTTGCCTGAGTCTCGCCTCCAGTATTCTGAACATTTTGCTTTTCCTCTCCCCCCAATAGCCAGTCAGAACACAGAGGTCATTTGCATATGCAGCCTGATTGGCCTTTGCCGCTAACATTCTAAACAGGTTGCTGTTGAGAGTCCTGAGGTAAAATAAATACCCCAATCTCCCTGTGGGGCTTGGAGATCTCTCAGAAATCACCGTGTTCCCCAGCCACAGCACATCATTTCCCCTACAGAAAATTTCCCAGATATTACAACTGATGTCCAGATGACCAAAATCAGTTCTCCTGGAGACAATGGCTGCTTTGGCCAGTGGACGTTATGGCATTATACCCTGCTGAAGTCCCTCCGCACCCCAAACCCTGCCCTCCCCAGGCTCTACCCCTCAAATCTACAGGTATTTCCCAACCCAGAGTTGGCAACTGTGTAATTGGCTATGGAACCACTTTCCAGACCCTTGGAACCAGAAAACATGGCATAGGAGGAGGTGCTTTTCTACCTTACCTACCACTGCATAGTCCCAAATTAACATAAGCCAACCTCCAGGTGGCACCTAGAGATCTCCAGCTATTACAACTGATGTCCACATGACCAAGATCAATTCTCCTTGAGACAATGGCTGCTTTGGCCAGTGGACTCTGGCATTATACCCTGCTGAAGTCCCTCCCCACCCCAAACCCTGCCCTCCCCGGGCTCAACCCCTCAAATCTACAGGTCTGGCCCTCCCCTTAGTATTGCCAGCATCCAGGCAATACCTGGAGATCTCCAAGATCAGTTCTCCTGGAGATCTCCAGCTATTACAGCTGATGTCCAGATGACCAAGATCAGTTCTGGAGAAAACGGCTGCTTTGGCCAGAGGACTCTATGGAATTATACCCTGGTGAGGTCCCTCTAAACTCCAAACCCTGCCCTCCCCAGGCTCTACCCCTCAAATCTACAGGTATTTCCCAACCCAGAGCTGGTAACCCTGTAACTGACTATGGAACTGCTTTCCAGACCCTTGGAAGCCGGAACACATGGCATAGGAGGAGGTGCTTTTCTACCTTAGCTGTCACTGCATAGCTCCAAATCAATGTAAGTCAGCGGTGGAGGGTACCATACCTGTTACCATAAGGCTGTCCTCCCATACTACCCACTTGGGGCAGCAAAATGACGAGGCAGCCCTGCCTTATAGCTAAGCAGAAGGAAATAAACATGGCTTGCCTCCCTCTATTTTCCCCTTCCCTCTGCCGCCCCACCAGCCACAGCTGGGACACTCACCTGGAGCTTCCTTCTAGAGCTCGTTGTATATCTTCCCAGAACGGGCCTTACTCCTAGTGTAGAAATAATATTCATTTGTAATTGTCACTTTGTACATCAGACTCAACCTATACAGATCCAGTTGCAATTTTGTCCTTATATAGTAAAGATTGCTTTTAAAGTGGTGGTTAAACCTCTAAAAACGTTTCTTCAGTTTTATAAAGTAAAAACCTACATTCCCTTAAATTATTCCAAGTACTCAAGATAAATGTAAAAAACATTTTATATTTTCAGTTTTCAGTTTTGTAAGTGGCCTTTTAAAAGTCAAAAGTGTTCTGCTCCAATCCAGAAATTCCTCTTTGGGGTCAGTTTGCCATATATTACAAAATATTTTCAATAGCAGCTAACATATCAAAAAGAACTAAAATTAAACGTTCTGGTTTTGATACTATTGATAGCATATCATCTGTGCAGAGATTCATTTTACTATTGTTTTCAACATGTTAAAATGTAATCTGTGTATGTCTTTAGTAGCCATAAGCACTAACATTTAAATCAAATAGTGGAGTAGTAAGTGGCAGCTTTGGCAGATGTGTCAGCACAATTGAAATGTTTCTAAAGTTGACCACATTGTGGTTACATTAGAAAGGAGACAACCATACCATAATTTAATGCATATAATAAAATATGGCCCAGATCCAGATTCTTCAAAGAGAAAGGCCAAAGTCCTTCACATTTTAAAGCTAGCCTTGTTATAGAGCTCTTTAGAATCCCTTGTGACAGTTAAAATATTTATCAGCCTGTGCAGGTTGTTGCAGCTCTGCCTACTCTTTCTAACATTAAAGAAGCAGGAAGTGATCACCATCTGTAATTTCCTTAGCAAAAAAAAAAAGTGTTCCTATCAAATGTCTAAGATGCTACTATAACTTGACATTAACTCCAGTTGAAAATTCCGTATGAGAAATTATAGATTCTCATATCTGTTGTGGGATTTCCAAGGATCTTGGAAGAGGAAATCTTGATGTGAGTGGGATGGCAATTCCAATGAAAAGTTGAAGACCATACACAGAACTGGTGCTTTGCTTTGTGTTGTAAACAACAGCAGAGACACAATCCGTTTTTTAAATTAAATAGCATCATATTTGTTCAGCAATGCTACCAGCTTAAAAAAAAGTGAAAACAATACTGGCCATTAGGACATTTCTTCCTGAACATTTCCTTTATTTGATTCTTGTTCCTAATTTGAGGGGGGGAATTCACATGTAAATTAGAATAGATAGGAATTTAATTTCTCAACAGTAAAAAAGCATTCTAGTGATGCATTCAAGGAGTCCCTGCTACTGAAACTCAGAGCAGAAAAAAAGAATTCTAGAGAGCTCCACAGGCAGCACAGACTGATACTCATAAAGTACGGTATGTTCCACTAGCGTGGCAGTGTAGAGTAACAGCACTGAGAGCTGCCGTGATGTAGTGGTTAGAGCACTGGACTAGGACCTGGGACAGCTGGGTTCGAATCCCCCACTCATCCATGGAAGTCCAGCAGGTGACCTTGGGCCTGTCACAATCTCTCAGCCTAATGTATTCTCACAAGGTGGTTGTTGTAAGGATTAAGTGGAGGAAGAATGTGAAAAGCCCCTTTGGGTTCCCAGTTAGGGAGAAAGACGCAATATAAATTATAAGTAAGCATAAATAAATACAAGCGATAGTAGTGTTCATAGCAATGTTCAAAACGTCAAAATATGTAGAAGCCAGTTTTGTACATGAAGATACAACATATTAATGTTTTGTGTGACTATTAAAATTGGGGCTCCTGTTTCCTCTCCCCCTTTCCCTGTTCTATATGTATACAAATTTGGCATCAGTGGAATGTGTGAAGGTTAATACTGCCTTTAATTCATGTTCCTTGCAAAATATGAAATTTAATATATGATATATGAGCTCATCAAAAGACTCTAACAAAGCAGTAATTGATATTATCATGAGCAGATCAAATTATGGTCACCATGACAAGCTCATAGCTTGATGTTAGTAGAACTGCAAGAGCTCAAGGCTTTGCGTAATGGTCTTATGTTTTTGCACATTGTGTAAACTTGAACACTTTCAGTGAAATTTTAAATTAGGGAAAAAGAATCTACCTTGGGTACAAGAAAACTTGCTCTTGCTGCCAGTGTGCAAAACCAGCTCTCATCAGGCTAAATGCTGTTCTGAGAATATGTTGCATGCAACTCATCATGTCACAAAGTGAGCAAAATAGGTTCTCAGAAAAAGCTACCACAAATAAGCACATTTGTTGAGGGAAGAAGGGCAAACATCAGGTTAGAATGGACGAAGACAGGAAACTTGTGATGTATACCGAAGGACGTACAAGTATGTTGCTGGAAGAAAACTTGACAAACTGAAGAGGAGTCAAAGGTTCCAAATGGAAGAGGATCCATGCCATCTGCCTTCACAGACCCGTAGCTATTGTCAGGTGCTGGGGGTGATGCCCCCCTCCCAAATTAGCTCCGCCCCCTGCCCACAGGCCTGCCCCTGCCAGCTTGTGCTGGCCACAGCCGCAGCTGCAGTAACCACATCATGCAAAAAAAGCCTCCAGGCAAGCAGGAAGCCGCTGTGAGACTCCTCCGGGTAGTGAATGGCAGGGTATGAATCCCAATTTCTTCTTCTTCTCCTTCACTGTGGCTCCCCTCCTCCTCGCTCACCAGCCCACAGTAGGAGGCAGTGGCAGAGGGGAAGGAAGCATAGGGTGCGTGGCTGGGTAGCAGAGTGGAATGGCCCACCTCAGGGCCTCACCTGACCCATGGTGGCTGGGCTGGCACACGTGTAGTGAGGTGCTGGGGCGAGCCATTCCACTTAGCTGCCACTCACCCTCCCCTCCTGCTTGACCACACCAGGAAGCAGGGAGACCCAGTGAGGCTATGCAGTGACTCCCTGCCGAGGTAAGGAGCTACAGCTGAGCAGGAGGGGAGGGAGAGTGGCGGCCTTCCCGC